AGCAGGGGGTGGGAAATCTTGACCACTTCACAAGAACGTGTAAGCTGCTGAGGAGTGTCTCCTTCAGCTCCAAGTCTCTCACTTACTTGGAGCCCTCTCCTGTCTGTCACTCCCTGATTGCAGTCCTCTTCTGTCTGTCACTCCCTGACTGCCACTGATTACCCCTCTTCATTGGTTTTCTGCTGAATACAGCAAGCAGCAGAAGGCAGAGCAAATAAACTTTCATATGACTAATGCTGTCTGTCCAAAACACTCTACCCAAATTATCGTAAGAATCATCTTTATTTGTCATCTTCGTCTGTGCCCAAGCACGTTCCCTACCTCCTCTCACATCTACCATATCTAGAAAAGTGCAGAAGATGGTCATTAAGGAGGTGCCTAGGGTGCTGAACAGGAGGAACTCTCCAGTTCTTTTAACGGAAATTTCTAAATCATCCATATTATCACCAGCTTCTTTTCTCTTCCTTAAATCTCCTCCCTCTTCTGCTTTGGCCTTTTTTCAAACACGCAAGTGTTATGTGCTTGACACAAAGTGCTTTCATTCTGAAGTGCTGGGGAGTTAACATATACTAGGGAACAAACATTCAGCAAAAGGTCACTGACTCTTATCTGTCTTTCCTGAGGGCATTCCAGCACTGGGAAACTCGCAAGACATGCAGCAGTTATTCTGCAAAGCCCTAGCAGTGAAACGGAGAGAAGCAAGAGGGAAAAGAGTTTTTGAAAATAATCACTACTACTCCTCAGCCATCTCCAACTCCAAATGCGTTGAACTATAGCAAAGTGCTAGTATTATGGTCACAAAACTCTCACGGGGCAAATGCTGCTGCAGAAGCACCACCCAGTAAGCCCATAAGAATATCTTGCCCCTACAAAAGCTACAAGATGTGCAAGCTGCATTTCAATGAACAAAAGTGTATCATTCATCCAGTTACATTCATTAGTTTCATCCCAATCAAATTCATCAATTTTCACCCTATAAAAATAAGTAGGAAATAATGTATTTTCCCTTGAAAGACAGCTGCAGTAAAGAAACCAAAATTGCAAGCAACATTTCTGCTGGCTAGAAGGCTTGGACAATCTCCTTTATGCTAAACTGCAGCTGTAAGCTATTGTTCAAAGTATCGAAAGCAGAATGGCAGGCTCCTAAAAACAAAACAGATATGCCCAGATTCAGCCTGGATGTAGGCAGTAGAGTGTGATCACTGATAGTAAAGTGTCCAACATCTTTCAACTCTTGTCCAGTCCTTTTGTGCAAGGAGCACATGGCAAACAATTTTGCAGGGTCCCAAGGTCCAAGGGTAGTAGTAGTCCTTACCTCATACTTCTGTGCAACATCAGTGTTAGAGATCAGCTAAGGGGGAGGCAAACCATATGCACTCCAACTTCTGGGATGCTCTGTTGTTTTTCATTATATGAATGAATAACTGACATTGTGCTGGGACATTCAAAAGGTACGGCTGAAAGGATGCTCTCAAACAGCCTTATATGCTACTTACAAACACCTCCCAAAAGCTCTCTTAGGTAGGTAAGCTTCCCTTTCTGTGCACAGCACAGGAGCTGAGAAGAAAAGAGGTTCACTCCACCGTTTTTAAAAATGCATCTAAAATTGAGCAACTGAATTACCTAATTGACTTCCACAGATGGAGTCAAATGTAGATAGTATCACTGGGAGCTGTTACTGGGAGCTCTTTGGAAAATTACATTATTTCTATTCTAGTGCTTAACTGCAGTTCTAATTGCCTAATTTTAAGTACTCAAAGGAACATTCAATATGTTTCTAACTGTTCATTATTATCTACAACTAAACTTCAATAATGCTTCAGCTACTTCATAAATATAAACCAGAACACTTACTTGCATTTTGCAAAAAATAGCATAGAAAAGAAAACTAAATTACATGGATCAAATGCATGAAAAGTTACATTCTGTGTAGGAGTTCACCTTTGTTTCTTGCTCATGATTTCCGAAGTTCAGTTAACTGCAAAGGTTTCTCTAGTTGCCCTTATTAGCTAAGCTGTATTACTGAAGTGACCATCCTACTTCCCTCTCTTTGCATGTTATAACTGAAATGAAAAGTTATACAAAAAAACTAGCTCTGCTGAAAGTTAGAGTTTTAGGAAATATGTATACCAGAAAGTTGTCTTTGTGAAGCGGCTGTCTGTCCTGTTCCTGCCTTCTGTGACACACAGCAAGGTCAGATTGTACTAAAGACCTTGCATTTACAGCTGCCAAGAATTTTGCTTAGTACTTCACGGGCAGACACCACACAGTTATCAAATCCATCACTTGCCGCATCGCTACTGTAGCTCACTTCTTGGAGGTCACAGTGAGGTCTGAAGACATCCAGCATCATCCTGAACAGCTCAGCGTGTGACAGGGGTGATGAGGGGCCCAGAACAAGAAGGGTCTTGGGCTCCTCTGGTCAACTCTGTTGACCCTTGTGCTGTGAAGTGGAAATAAAAATCCACCCAGGCACCTGAACGGTTCATCTGCAAAAGGGACTGATAATTGCCTTAATACGGTCAAAGGGAAAAGAGTAAGAGAAACAAGTGCCAGGAAATAGGGATGAAGACACAGAAAACAGGAAACAAGTAAATGACTGCTCTACTATTGTGTTGCATTTCTTATCTGCAAAAGAAGTTAAAGTTCAGTAATTTCAAGGGAAAGTATATGCAGGGCTTAATAACTTCCTCTCTTTCATTGCTGTACAGCTTGAAGGAGAAAGTGTTCTCATTTGCTTTCTTGAGAGCAACAACCACCCTCCTCCCCCCAGAGTTATGCGCTAGCAATGAAAGCAGTGACAATGGAAATACCAAAGGGTGTACATATGAAAATATCTTGTAAACACAACACTGCATGCAGTACAGAGGAACATTTATCACATGCTTGACTGAACAGCCACAAAAAACCTTGAAACACCAACAAACCAAATAACAAAGTATGGAAAATGTTCAGGACAAATTACTGTCATTAACACTTAAGGTCAAATTTGAACCTTTTTATACATGAAGGAAGTAAAATGTAAGTGCCACAAAAAATATGACACTGAGATTAATCCAGATATCAGTACATCGTATTCATGCTATTTCTAGCAGTGAACCCTGTACACACACACACACACGCACACGTGCTCTGAGCACGTCTGGGGTGGCTGTCATAGATGAAATTTTAAAATATTAGCAAGACTTTTTTAGAATACAGGTGTTTTCATTCCAGTCTTAGGAAGTATGCTCCAATCTTCAAGTTTAAAACCATATATATATGCATATATATACATACACACACACACACACTCTCTCTCTCTCTCTCATACCTTTTTTAAAAAAAAAAAATATATACACACATCCACATGTGCAGCCACATGTGCATGCACACACACACACAAAGAGAGAGAGAATATGTACCTATATCTGGATATATCCCTGAAATTACTATGGATGTCATAAAAGCATGGAATGATTTTACAGACAAGTTGCAACACAGAGCCATAATGAGTTTCTGAATCGCCAATACTCACACATAAAAGAGGGCCTGATCATCAGCAGGTGCTGGAGAAGATCTAGAATGTGAAGCATACGATGCAGCATCTTTTTACAATGGTGTTAACAAATGTCAATGTCTCATGCTGAATGCGAGAGGCATACTTATGTAGTTAAAAGTGTGAGCTGCTTTTTTTTTTTTCTTTTCCTTTTTTTTTCCCCTGTTCCACCTCCGCTTCATCTACACCTCCCCCAGAAAGCATCTGCTCTTTATTATTGTATATAGCAGTGATTATTAACAAGCATGGAAAATGGAATTGCAATCTATGTTTTATTTCTTGATCAGTAATTCATCCCCACACTTTAGGCAGGTGAATTCTGATACAGCTCTGTAATTATCTGACAGATGTTACAAGCAGCTGCTGCTGAGCACAAAACCCTGGCTATTATTACAGAAACATAAGAGCTGCTGGCAAGGTGGAGTGAGAAGTGAAACAGAATGCATTCTGGTAAGGCCACACATCTGGTTTTCCACACACAAAGGGGAAAAAAATTAAATACCTAAGTCTGAAACTCAGATTGCTGGTTCTTGAACTATTCAAAATCAATTTTCCTTTAATAAAATAAAACAAAGCCTTTATGTGGCAAGTAAGAACAGCTTTATGTTTTCTCAGCAAATAATGTTTGCCACTGAAACACAGCTTTGAAATAAAAATAATTCTGCTTAATCATTTTTGGGGGCCCCCTGCTACCCAAAAAAAAGCTTAGTCTAGAAGTTAAGGTGCCAACTTTGCAGCCCTGTATGGATAAAGAGGATGATATCAAGATGGCCACACCTGAGCACTTGTGCACCCCTGTTTCCTGAGGAAGACACCAAAGAGATTCAACTTGCTTATTTGAAATGTTGGCCCTTAAATTGCAAATCCTGCATCGTGGTGCACCACATTAGCTCTGAAATGACATCTATATAGCTGTGTATCCCTCTCAGCAAACAGGAAGAACTATCATGAGATAATGCTCCATATCTCCAAGTTTCTGATTTGGGACATTACCCACATGGTTGTATCATAGTATTTTTCTGGGATCCTGTATTGCTCCTGAAAGTACAAATTACAGAGAAGTTTAATTATGCTGAATAGTTTTGTATCAAAACTATGTAGGCCCAAAACTATTGTCCTTATTCTTGCAAGACTCCTTTAGAAGCTACCAAAGGATCTGGTTTTTCATTTTTTTGAAGTGAGAAAGCCAGCTTCACTTTAAACCCTTATCATGGGTATGCACCAAAGTACATAAATATAAAATGAAAGACAAAAATGTTAAGTAAGAATATGAATAGCAACTGCCCCTTTTCTGTGAGATCTTTCAGAAAGGGGATGCAGTTCCCTCTGGAAAATCTGAATATTCACGTCTTAAGACAAGACTTTGGCATTTCTGACATATCTGCAAAAGACTAAGACTACAAAACAAAACCTATAGTCACATAGTGTAAAATGCAGCAGCTATAAAAGGATAAGCACAAATAATGAACACATCTGTTCATGTACACGTGTTTGATCATGTAACTACGGCACTAATAAAAGACTCCTCACAGAAGAATGGTGCTGTAGCATTTGTGTATCTAAGCAGACATACACACACATGCATGCGCACATACCAACTGATTTCAGTCGTGGCAGTCGAAATTATAATACAGTTTGAAAGCCTACAATAATAATCAATGTCACATTTTATCAACACTGACTCGCTCATATTCATGACAGCATTGACAATAATGTAATTCATTATATGAGCATATCCCATTATTTAAACAAGCTTACATTAAATCATAATCCTAAACGCATGACAGCTATGGGGCAGACAATTAAACCTACCACCCACAGTGAAGATAATTTACCTACCTGTTCCCAAAATGCCAGGTGTCTTCAAAGCTAGAATACTTCTGGGGAAGAACGGAATGCCCTGCAGTCCGTTTTGAACTGACAGAAACCACGCAGTTACCTGCAACTACACTGGGACTGAACTGATCCCTTTGAAGGCCATCCTCTTAAATAAGTAGGAGCTTCTATTACCAACAGCTCCATTAATCCCATTTGCAGATCTGACCAAATCCATGTTACCATGGGTTTGAGAAAAACAGCTACTAGATTTTTGGAGCTGTAAACCCAGCACTGGTGTGTCTAGAGCACTGTCCACAAGCTTAGGAACAACCTCATTTCTAGATAGTGCACGTGGGCAAAGTTAACTCCACAACCACAACAGCTAGAAAGAATTGTACTTTAAAGGGAAAGTTAAAATTCTGTAAATTGAGTGAACTTGAGAAGAAGAAATTTTCTCATCAAGCAAGCAGATTTTTCAAACTTGTATTAATTACTGCAAGTTTAAAGTAGTACTCCCAAGAGCAGGTATTTATGCACTAGAGCAACAGCTCCTTCGTACATACTAATAAAAACTGGGAAGTGACTTCACAAAACAAACTTTCTGCTGTTTGTCACAGATGTACTGAAAATGTTTTAAGTGTTACTTTTCTGCATTAACATCAGCTGTCATACTTTCGGTCTGGCAGTCAAAACCAAAATCCATTACAAAGATCTCCATCAAATGAAATCATTTGTGCAATGGCCAGAACAGTCCACCTTTGAGAAACACAAACACCTTGAGGAAATCCTTACTTTCTTTGGAAGAGCCATACTATCAATGCAAAACTCTGACTAATCCCACTCCTTCGATATAACCAGGCAAGGCAGTAATGATGATGATTACTAATGACAGTAATAACTTTTCTAAGAACATTCAAAGCCTCTCACACAAGCGATTCTATCTTTCAAACACATGAAGCTGTAATCTGAAGGTTAATTATCCATCTGAAGCTGTAACTTAAATTCATATTGTAAAAACAAACAAAATTTTCATTTAGAATACTTGCATAAATAACCAAATTTTGATTATTAGCCTCTTCCTACCACAATTCATCATCTAGCTTTACCTACTTTATATCTGGTCCAATGAGCGAATGCCTCCTTAGCATGGCCCGGGCTTGTGCATTGGTTAAGTTAGTGGTTGACTCTTCATTAATGGACAGGATGCAGTCCCCCACACCAATCCGTCCATCACGACTTATTGAGCCTCCATGGATGACGCTGCGGACTATCATTCCTGAGCCATCTTTATTGGAACTTACTGTCATCCCTACAGTGAAAAACGCATGAAACAGTTAATAACATGTTTGAGCCCCAGCTCTGAGTGCCAAGAAAAAGAAATGTAACCTGGGGCAGGGAAGGTAAAAGCCAGCCAGCCTACCTGCCAATGTCAGCAAGCCTATAAACGCTGCTCTTATTCTCCCTTGCATTTCCTTCTTTCCAACAGGAAACAGCAGTTACAAATCACAATCACAGTATCTTTACTTTACCTTGTGCCATTACACATACCAGGCTCAATATAAAAAAACGGAGACAGTGGAAAATTTAAGCAGAAAATAAACAAAAAAGGTAATGAAATTGTTTCTAAAACAGTCAAATTTACCAGTCTTCTGGATGGTTCACTGAGTTTATACACCACATTTCAGTTTAGTTTATAACAGTTCTCTTTGGAAAGAGGGTGAAATGTTTAAACAGTTAATTGGGAGCATAGGGCCAATAAAACCACACACTTATTTTCAACAGAAAGCCTGAATCAGATCCCACTGAGACAGTAGCTGCCTTCCTGCTCTCCTGTGTGGGCCATCGCTTAAGGCCAAAAGAGCATCCTGACTTCTGTGAGAGCCTGTGCACTACTGATGGATACAGTCCACTACTTGAGTTACACCATGATCCCACCTGTGGCATAGCAGGACACTACTCAATGTTTATACACACCATTTAACTCCACTTTCTTTTCACTAATGGGAAATGAGAGAGAGAGACTCTTCCCCCTCCTCCCCATGGGGACTTACTTGTGGTGCTGTCTTTGTGACTGTTCTTACATGCATGAGTTGTCACTGTTATTTTCAAGGCAGTTGGTGCTCATCAAATCAACCCTGATGACAGTTCCAGGAAAAACTGTTCTTCACTAAGGCAATGGAAAAGTAGCTGAACGGCCAGCACCCTGGAAGTCCACTGGGTGGACTACCACTATCTGAATAGTGCCGAACTCATTTTTATTCTCTTTTGTGCACTAACATGGAAGCTTTCCTTCACTAAGAAGATGAAGCCACTGAAGTAAGAGCACCTTATAGAGGAGTATCTATTGGAGAAGGAGGCAGTGACTACCTCACTATGTGTTATCCTAGTTTTGCACACAAACATCAGACTAGCAAGCACTGGTAGTGCAGCTGTATGTCTGCAAGCCCTTACCTTATTGTCCAGACTGTGAGTGGAAGGAACGTAGCTACCCAGAGCAAAACCTCCAAGGATACTGACTATGAAAAAATTCTAACCATTTATATACAAACATGGCTACAGAAGACAGAGACTGAACACTTTACTCTGTGACCTTAGACCTTGGGAGACAGACTGGCTGAACAGATTTTAGAAGGCAGCTGTAAGCCCCAGGCTACCCAGACTCAGCCAACCATACAAACGTCTGCCTATATATTTGTCTCAGAGAAAAAAAAAAAAATACTGTAACCATTTAAAGAACAACACTAATCCAGATATTCATTTGTGCTTCTTCCAGGACTCCTTCCAGAAAATAAAAATCTCTTAATAGTGTTGGCTCCTCACACCCACTTGTCATTGAGATCAACATAGCTGTCTAAAGTATGAGAAGGTGGCCCTAACTAGCAAGGAACTGCCCAATAAGCTTCTTAGACACAGGAATACATCTACCTGTCTACTTTGGTATGTGGAAGTCAAGGTTTATCTTTTGGAAAAACTGCAAAACCCATCTTCATGATGGCACTTTATATTAAACTGATGAAAGAATATGGTGTTACCATTGACTGGAGATTTATATTTATGATTTGCCAGGTAACGATGTCAGCTGTGGTCAGGCGTAATTTAAACATGGGTGTATCAGACTTGTGATACAGACACACAATGCCACTGATTTATTGCCTTGCTATTAGAAAAAGTAGAGGTAAACTGCCTGTCACCTACCCCTCAGATTAGTAATGTTACAATGTTGAGCACATCACAGATGGCATTTACAGATGCCATCCTAGGGCGGGCGCCCCAGCGTTTACACTCCCATACTCCTTCCAACAACCATCTCTTGACAGATCTGCTCACACAGGTTACTCAGTCAGATCTGAATGTAAACACAACTCTGCAACAGAGTGGTCTCCACCAGAATACAAGCAGCGTGCACAGAAAAGCAAACTGTCACCGAAACAGACAAAATGTAGTTTGAAATTCTGAACCTAACTTTGCTCCTTGGTTAAGCCAGTAACCAGCAACAGTATTACCGAGGCTAGTGTAATAGCACTTTAGAAAAACATCACCCCAGTTTCTATGCTGACATCTTCATTACAACAGATCTGCAAGGCTGATGTCACACTTTGGAAAGATACAGTTTCAGGTTAAAAATGCAAATGCCACTGTCAAGTTGCCAAATGAATCGCACAGGACAATGGCATTTCAGCTCTTCTTGCATGTGGGTGCTCCGTCCTCTTACCTTTTAAAAATCACAAGCAAAAGGTTAGAGCTCCAGCTGTGGCTGGATTTGAGGAGCTGTTGCAAGTTATGGGTGACACCATTTAAAAGGAAAAAACAAGTGCCAGTTCTCAACTGAAATAATTGAAGCAGCTGCAGCTTTCAACATTGCTCACAGCTCTTGATTTAGCTCCTTTTGTAAAAATGAAAGTTAAAAGCAGTGCAGTCATGTGTATAAATTGGTCACTGTGCCCAGGCAGCTTCCCAGGCCAGAGCACACACAGACTGGAAGAAAAAGACTACAGTTAAAAGCCAGGAGAAAGCATTATTCACATTCATACTATGTATACGTGAGAGGCCAGTCTTACTTTTCATGCATGTAATGTCTGCCAACGTGCACCCTGCTCCAAGTTTGTATTTCTATGCTCTATTACGCTTGACATGAAATTTGCTTTGTATGTTCACTACACTTAAAATGCTTATAGACATACATGAAAAACACTGCTCCACTGAGCTAAGGTTTTATTGCAAACAAAACTTTTTTAACAAAATCCAAATGCCTGGAACTGCACTGTGACTTGCACCTTATACAGCCTGGCAATGAGGCCAGTAAAGGCAGTAGTTACCCAAGTACCTCACACCAATTAAAGCCAAAACTTACATCCACATCAGCCTTGCCTACAGCTTTATATTTTGGGGAGGCTGATTTTAAACCAGATCAGCTCCCAATCCAGTTTGGAGGCTGGCTGTATCATGAAGGAGAAGGTGGTATGGGGCAGACTGAGCATCCAGCCATCAGAGGGCAGTGTATTCCAGGCGGAAGCGCCCACTGAATCACAGCATCCCAGCGCCCCACCCACCACTGCGCAGCAAGGGAGTCCTGAGTGGTGGCTGTTTATGAGCAAGGGGCCCGTGGGCTGCCTTCAAGGTGCTTTCTGTGGACAGCCCATCTTAAAGTATTCGCGGAGTCACTGCAAACAGCCAGTGCCCACACAAACTCCTGCCCTACCAACACCAGAGAGTCTTCAAGGACGTGCCGTTGGCCGGAAGAAACGGCACGAGGAACCTAAACCAAAGCAAATGAACACACCAGCCACAAACAGGAGGGGAGCACCCACTGCCTCCCACCACAAAGCCTCCCCCATCCTGGATCTGGGAACTGGACTGAGAGGATGCTACCCCTGTGCTCCCCCTCACACTGCCCAGGCCTGCACCAGAGACCAGGAGAGTACACAGAAAAATGTTTCCATCTGTTGTGCCTGTTTGCTTCAAAATGTGCCTCTAGCCAGTATGCTCAGGAAGTTGCAGATTGCAGATATTTAAAATCCTGAAATTCTCTACAAAATTATAATATCATTGAGATACTGTCAGAGAGGTGGTGGATGCCCTATCCCTGGAAACATTCCAGGTCAGGCTGGACCGGGCTCTGAGCAGCAACCTGATCTAGTTGAAGATGTCCCTGCCCACAGCAGGGGGGTTGGACTAGATGACCTTTAAAGGTCCCTTCCAACCCAAACTATTCTATGATTGAGCTAAAAACATTACCTATTAAATGTATCAATGATCTGATTTTCAGAAATACTGAGGCACTTAAGATACAAGTACAAATATGTAGCAAGGAAGTGAACAGCTTGTTTAGACCCTTTTGACCATCCTCAGAAAGAAAGATCATTTTGTATTTACATACATTTGAAAGTCTAGTCTGCAGCTCTTTGACCAAAGTGTTCTTCTACAGCATTCCTCGGCTATATCTCATTTTTCCACTACATTATATAAATGTATAGACATCAAAAACCAACGTATTAAAATTGTTAACATTTAGGAATGAATGAACTCCTGTACGGGGAAAAAAAATTTCTCAGTGAGACTGGACACTTTACTTTTGTGTTCAGTGTGACAGCAAATGGATCCACTGCCATCACAGCCAAACAGGGCAGGAGCAGCAAAGAATGAATATCCTGTTATGCTTTCCCCACTAAAAGGAAAATATTTAGTCTTTACTAATAAAACAGGAAACATATGAGAAAAACAGACAGCCATGTTCCTGAACAGGTTACAAAAAACATTAGCTACCTTACCTAGACTTGAATTGCCTTTTGCAATAGTGATAGTCTTCTCATACATGTTTTTGACTGAATTTGGGGTTGTGGAACTTCCCTCCAAAGATACTGGGCATCTCTTTTCCACTAAAAGCACTTGATCCTAACACAAGGGAAAATAACATCAGTTCAGAATACCGAGATAAAAATACGATTGGACATACTGACCTCAACTCTTCTTACCTTACACAAAACCTAGGCACGTAATTAATACAGATTCCTTACACTGACATTGGAAAAGTCAGTCCATCAAAGATTAAACCGACATACATGAGGTTTCTGTTTTCATTCAGGTAATATAGAAAATCTACCATAAAGTATGCTTTTAATTTAAGGACATCAGTTACACTCTTAATAGTGGGATGAATTCAAGGGCTCTCAGACTCGTTCACCACAGATGTCTGACAATCTGCCAGTGCTAAAGTAACAAATCTTGTAAGAAATTGCAGCTCTTTTAAGAATTTCTTAATAAATCACTGAATGGAAGAAAAAAGAAACACATGTCACAGTGACTGCCATATAAAGGAATATTATGTTTGCACACTGTGGCATCGCAGGACAGTTTGTGAGCTGAACTCTGGAGGCTTGCGCGAACTTGAGGATGCAAGTCTTTCACACCACTCCCCCTTGGCTTCCCAGGCCTGGTTCCCAGCTGTGCACCTCCTCCTTGTGCCCATGCCTCTGCAGAGGTTAAGAGGGGATAAGAAAAGCCCCCTGGCCTGCTCAACAGGTACACTGTGTTCCAGCAGTGTCTACTGCTGTGAGGCATGAGCAGACTTTTATATACCCCTGTATCGCCAATCTCTGGGAGATGACTATCTATCTTGACGCCATAAATTATCTCCTCCTTTGGGTAGGTCTAAATCTGTAAGTTTTGATGTGAGCTACCACATCTGATGGACATTTATAATCAACTAACCATACACGGCTGTTGACCAGTCAATTTCTCCAAGAGATTTTATGTTTTAATATGACCTTTCTGTAGGTTTTTTTAATTATTATTTAAAAAAAAAAAAATCTTTACTTTTCCAGTGGGATCAAGCTGCATGGTAGTATCAAGGCTTGTACTTAGTGCAATTTCTGCTGTTGTCTGAGATCCAGTCCATGTTGCTGTGTTTTCGCCTTCATTTTGGTTGATATCCGAAACATCCAGAGGCAGAAGATCCTTTTTAGTAAAACCAGTTGCAGTTTCCAGGCTATTGCCCACTACGGACTTTTGCTCTCTCTCTCTCTGATTCAGATCCATGTTGTACAGGTTCTTGTCAGATACACGGAAATCAGCTGCAGCATTTGAACATTCCTCTCCAACAGGCTGTTAAACACAGGAGACAATGAACAATCAACATTCTTTTGTAGTATAATTAAAAAGTACATTTCATGCTAAAATCTGAAACAGAAAATAATCTCACAGAATTTAAACATATTTGTTGTAACATCAGTGTCTTCAGTAGATCCCTACGGGCATTTTACTATAAAATTTACTTGATTCCTCAGACAATTCCTTCTGTTTTAAAATACCAGAAATCATTGAAAATAAAGTTACTGCTGAAGGCCAAATTCTAATTTGGCACTCATCAATAAATCTCCACTAACTTCAACAAAGTAATGTCCATTCACACATTCTCAAACTAGACATAACTCCACAAGTTATTAAAATTAAAGTATCCAATTGTTTTTCTCAGGTAGAAGAACTTTGAAAGATCAAGGTCTTCCCTTTCAAAACACTTAGAAGCAAAGAGCAATTTCAAACAGTTCAGACAATAAGCATGCAATCTAATCATCCATTTAACTGAGTAGAAACGTATTTAGATACCCCTTCTACACAAAGACGGAAAAGTAAAAACTCAGTCAAATCTCAGCAAAAAATGAACATGGAGGTTTTGAACTGTGACAACAATGAAATACAATGATGCAGCTACAGAAGCTTATCAGCTAGTACTTATTGCAAGTGTATCGATTATGGCTGCCCTACTAGGATTAAGTTCTCTACAAAAAATGTGTTCAGACTTTCAAGATTCCAAGGTCCTGCATTTCAAATATTTTAAGGAATTTCAATAATCACATTCTGAAAAAAAATCTTCAAATATTCTCTAGCTCAGCTTTCAAAATAAGTAATTTTCAAAACATGTAGGCCATTAGATATCAGAAAGATATATCAAGGACTTGGAGATTGGACTTACAGGTTTTATATCAGTGTCAGGGATTTTTCTCTGACATGTAGTAAATGTAGTCACAAGAACGTCTACCTCTATCTGTATTAGCTGTTATCCACTGGTCCTACTAATTCTTCTATTGCTTTTCCAAAAAGTGGGGAAAACATGTTTCCCAGGATTTTGGGATATTTTGCAACATTGTGTATCAAGGACCTTAGAATTAGGTTTTCTCATCTTTCATGAAGTACATACATGTTTGCTCTGTCCCCAGACAATCATCAAAAAAGGATCACCTGTAAACAATTGGTTTACATAACATCTAAGATAATTTAGCAAAGCCTAAATACAACTAATCTGCATGATGTAATCAATGAAATAACTTCCTACCTTTTGGAGAACAGAACACCAGGACTATATTTAAATTATTCCATTAGGTTTCAGAGAAAGCGGGGACATCTACTTTTAAGTCCGTTTTGTATCTATTTTCAAATCAGTGAAAACAAGACCCAGATTGTACTCAACATTTAATCCATATGCTATATATACATATTAGAGTTGCAGCATATGCCCATTTTTATTTTTGTTTCACTTAAAGAAAAGCCAATGCTGTAATTTTTGAAGACAAACACAATTTCAGGAATTTCTAACTACAGCAACATGTGGCCTCATTTACATTACTTTGACTTTAGGTATTTTTTTTCATCACCTATTTTAAAAGTGACACCAAAGGCATTCAGAACCTGTCAACTGTCCTGCAGTCAGAAATAGCTGAAATACCTCTGCATTCCTCATAGCATCTAATAGCAATTTTTTCATTTTTACTGCACTTCACTTGCTTCAAAAGTCTTCTTTTATGAACAGATTTTCTTGCTATGTTTACTTTGTGAAGTCACTCACAACTGCAGAGTATAAAATGTTACTTGATAAGAACTTAATACTCACTTCATACTGGTGCACAGAGAGGAACACTGAAAAGTCAGGACCATAGTCTTTAAAAAAACCATGTAAACCGAAGCCATCTCTAAGTCAATGCTGAAAATAACTTAAGACTTTCTAGAGCCTCAACATGGCATATAATGTAAATCCAGCCTCTATCTCATAAAATGCTTCTCAGCTTGCAAAACGCATAATCGGTTTAAGTAACAATTACAGAGTTAAACAATGCAATCTGTCCCACTGGCACAGCAGACGTGCTCTTCTGTGGATTAGGAGAAACCATTAGAAGATGAATTTAGCTTTCCAACCAGTGCCTCGTAAGGGCTGAACGTATTTCAGAAGGGATAAAGGGAGTTACTGCAGCTCAGGTGTGGAGGAAAAAGCAGCAGCTACTCTATTCAAGATCACAGACTGCAAACCCTGGAAGAAATCCCTACAATGTTGTTTTCAAAGATGACTGCTAGAAGAAATGACTTGGAAGACTCTGGATTAGCAAAATAAATCTATAGATTGCCAAGAAAAAGGAGCATGAAAAACCATGGAGAGAAACAAAACACCAACTCTGACACAAACAATCAAGTCATTATGGGTATGTGACCAGGAAGAAAAAAGATACTGATCTTTGTAATACTCTTAAAGAACTTATCTTCATTTACTGACTTTAAATAGAAATTATTAGTAATCAGAGGTTTGATATTTACAGATTTACTTTTAATTACAGTAGCATTATGAACATTTCATTCAAGAACACAGTAAATGAATTAGCAAACATACTAACTATGAAGCATAAAAGCAAAGCTTAGGATGAAAATTTACTCTTGCTTTTCATACCTAAAATACTGTAGAATAACGCACTTATTTTGTGTTACCACTCTTTACCATGCTCTGAAGTAAAAACGATTAAATTTTTGTAGCAGAATGCTCACCTCAGCTTTAACACTACAAACATCTCACCATACTTTATCTGGCTATACAAAACACAAATCCAAGCTTTCAGCCTTCTAGCTGCCTCTCTCTTCAACACACACATCTGAAAGACACCAGTACTACCCTAAAAACAAAACTGCACTTCAATCTGGTAATGAAGCAGGATGACATAAAACATTTGTATCTAATAAAACAGCCTTTTCACACTTATAATCAAAGTTTGCCATCAATAAAACCATCCTCCTTTTTACCTTGGGAGTTGACAATGGAAGAGAGAAGCCGTAGTTCAGCTCACCGCTACAGGCACTGCCATGCAGAGCTATCATTGAAGCCTGGAAGACGTCACTCTCCAGCGAATACTGCGATTCAAAGGTGGACTCATCCGCTAGATCTGCCTCGCCGGAGTCCACCTAACAACAAAAGCAATTCAATCAGCCAGGCTATCTGTTACCTTCACACCACATAAGCCCCAAACACATGCACCTCAGTCGCTATATACTGACTGACACTTTCCGTCTTTTTTTCCCCCCTCCATGTTTTACATTGAAGTTATATTTGCACAGCACAGTAGGAAAAAATTCTGCTTCCAGTTACAATTCATGTTACTACATCTTCAGAGGTTGCAAAGAGTATCTGAAGCAAAGTGAGAGTCTCAACTGGAATGAGTTGCAGGGCTGAGGTAGGCTGATGCCTGTTAACAGAAGTACAAGGTGTTAGGAGAATTCTGCTGTACTCCCTGGTGTCAAAATTTTGATTTGTTTAAGGTTTTTTTTTTCTTTTTAATTTTCTTTTATAAGAATCAGAACTGAAAAAACAATGAGCTTCACTTAGTGCCACCTGTCAGGAATGTTCCCTCCACCCAATTTCATAGGTTCGGTTGTTTTTAAAAGGGTATGAAAAATAATCTTCTGGAAATTGCAATGCTTTCCAATATATTTATAAGAAACATTTATGACATGATTTTTTATGATTTCCAAAATATTTTACATTTGACAAGAAGATTAATATGGACAATTATCCCCTGTCTTAAGAAAAATGAAATTTTAGAAAGAGTTCCAGACATGGACACGGGCAGTATTTTTTGCCTTTTTTTTCTTAAATGAAATATAATTTTTTCAAAACTCATATACTTTCAAATACTAGAATAAAATTAAGTCCTACAAGACTTAATTTATGGTGCTTCACATACTACACTTTGATTACAATTTCTTCTCCCCTGGCAGAGCTCAAGAAAGCAGTGTATGCTAACAAAAATGATCAGTGAGTTCAGAGCCATGACCATGCCATAAACTTGTATGAAGCAGCCAAGTGAACCCATATGCAGAGATGGGATCTAAGTCTTGTTTTTCAGCCTCTGTGATTAATCATACTATGAATTTATTATGTCAGATTCACAACAGCAATAGCAACAATCTGCAATGATTCAACATACTGATTCCTTTTTGGGGTACAAATGATCCATTTTTTATTGTCTCAACCCTAAAGACTTAACAACTAATTCAAACTGCTCCTTTGGTGTAACTTACTCTCAGCCCATCTTCTGGAAAATGCAGACTAGTGTTACTGAAGCTATGCCCTAAAAAAAGGATTGTGAAAAATGGGGACAGACCTGTAGAATATGAATGTAGATTTATCTATGAAAAACAGTATCTCATGAGTGCACTCTGCAAACACATCTTTAACTGGGTGATTGCACATTCAATTTCATATTTTGCACATTTGACAGCTGACAGAGTTGACAATTTAACCATATTATTATCTGCCATATATTTCACTGTTCTTTCACAATTTTAATTTTTTGTATGAATCACATAGAAGTCAAATTTTTAAATACTTAAAGTTTTAATCTGATCTTCAACCCATCTTTAATTAAAAGATATTTACAATATATAATCTGGCTTCTTCATACTTCTTCTCAATGAATAGAATAAGGCAAATCCTATTACCTAACTACTGTACCAAGGTAACAAACTGCAGAAGAAAAAACAGGCAGTCTTGTTTAAAAGCAAGTTATTAAAACCAGGTTGTCATTTGCAAATGTGAAAAAATAGCAAACATACTGGAATCAGTAATTCAGAGAGTTTTGCCTTGAAGGAATCCATTTCAGCTTTTTGTTTGGTTTTGTTTTTTTTCTAATGAATTAAGTTCTGGTGTTTAGTAGAAACTGCTTCTCTACTCATCCCCAGAAAATGAGGGCCAAATAACTTCAATATCAGGCCCAGATCAGTACAAATAAACATTAGAAGACACACTCGGAATATATTTATATTCTGTTTTTTGGGGGCTTGGGGGGTTTTTTGTAGAGTCCTATTTCCTTTGTCTTTTTCATCTGAGTTCTTATTGGTAAACTCTGGGCTATGTAAGGCACTGAATGCTCAGGTAAGACGCATTGTTTGTACAAGTGAACACCTTTTGACCTTGCAGATCTCATAATCACCGATTGATGCTGAAGTCTAAATAATACTATTAGGAGGAAGCATTGGCAGCTTTTGAAGACAGACAGCATTCCTTTTAAGGCTGGCTTACATGCAAAAAGAGAGTTCCAAAAACTTTTAAAGGTAGAGAAGTGATGTATTATGATATATAGGCAGACAGATTTATTTACAAAATAAGCACATGAGCATTTCTCTACACAAGGTGAGATTTTCAAAGGGATACTCCGTGCATGCAAGGAGAAGTGGGCAGCCATGCACTTTTGAAAACCTCAGCAAAATACTTCCTTTTTTCCCAGCAACTAACATATTATAGGCCAGATTCACAGCTCATGCACACAGCCAAAATCTCCAGATGCCAGTTTCTACCATGTGGGGATCCATCCCAGCGATGGTGGATGAGTAATGTGGTGACAGTAAACACTAAAAAATAAGCACGAACAGTGACAAAGCAACCCCTTTCATTACAAAATGCAAAGACTTAAGAAATCTTTTGTAAGTTGGGCCACTAACCAGAGCCAGCTCAGCATGGAAGAGGGCTGCATCAGCTGGCCCCTCCTCCTCAAGTGACTGGGCAGTGTAGAAAAAGCAATCTTCCTTAGCAGAGACATAGCCCTCCTCTGGTGAAAGCTGCAGAAAGAACGAAGCTCTGAGTTGGATGAGTGGCCAGGACACAGGGCGTGCAGTGCGTTATGTGTGTGGGTTTAGAGAGGCAAATGAATTCCAAATGCAGCAAAGAGTTCATGTCAATCACAGTCACAGTGTTGGGTAGGTAGTTTTTTTTCAAATTTACCTGAATTGATTCAGCTTCACATCTCATTTTACATCCCCAAGTAATGAAAAAGGCCTATCCAGCTATACCACAGAGCCCACAGCTGAGTCTAAACTCATTTTCAATTTCTGCTCTTATTAAACATATACTAAAACTGCCATCAGAGCTGCCACCAGGGAAAAAGCCTAACAGCAGAGGCCTTTACAACCTTGCTAGCTGCAGAGTAATCTTGTTAGCAGGCAGGAAGGCTGCGTCCACTGTCTGCGTTTTATGATTGTATCTACTGGGTGGAACAGCCTCAGGAGGACAAAACACAATTCTGACTAAAAACCAGCAGCTTTTTCCAACATAATTTGATGCTAGGTGCATTCGTCCAGTACTGCAAAGAAGCCAGTGATTATTCACTATGTTTAATTAATTGGCAAGTATAATACATGAAATATTAAAAGTGCAAATGCTGAATGTTTACAAAATGCAGGGAACAGAAACAAAACCCCCACGTATTTTCTCTTTTAGAGTGACATCTTCTTAAGTAGGAAAATATTCATTTGCAAGACATTTTAGTGTGTAACACAGAGTCTCCACTACAAAAAACGAATTTAACAAAGCAAGTTAAAAAAGTACCCTCTTACTATGAAAAGGAAAGTTTCTAGTAACTTAAACATCAGCCATTCCCTCCTACCCTCTCCACAAAGATCCACTAAGAATGAAAATTTGGTATCTGCATCCACAAGGATCACAAGATTACCATTTAATGAAAAGCAAAAATGAACCCCAAACACTGCACTTGGGCTTACAAATATAGTGAAAGGTATTTTCTTTGTATGTATAAACTGATTTGAATTTAACACACCAGGGACACTAGTCCACTAGCATCCTTACTGACATGCTATCTCGGTAACCCTAGGCCTCCTACAACCTCATTCTTCTAATTGTTACAGACTACCTTCTAAAATCTAGCCTGAAATTATTTATGGCTATACTAAAATAACCAGTTTGAGGTATATGAAGTGAAGACTACTCACCATTCTTTAAACATAAAGTGTGCAGTCTAAATACAAAGACTGCATATGTACTATACCTTGCAAAGCAAAGGAACAGGCAAATTCCAGGCAAACTACAAAAAATTGACTTTGTGTCACCATCTCACACATTCAGAGAATCTTGTAAAGTGTACAAAATTATGCCTGGCAACTTGCAGCCCTGAAAGACTGTGCTGGTTGCAAGATGCTTCACTGTTTTCTCAGCTGCAAGGCAGGTGTGATAGGTCCTGCAATCACTACACCAGTCATACACTAGACAGGCCACTCCTCTATGCAAGGAGATACAGGAATCTGTTAAAGACAGTTTCTGGATGTTTTGAGCCACCCAGCTGTACCCCAAAGCACACAAAAGTGTATGCAGAAGTCAGGATCATCATGTACCAGCTTAAATTACATGAAAAGTACCCATCAAATTCCCAAATCCTTACAGGCAGTGGTTTGGCAACTCCTATTTTAACTGTTCCTGCTGGGGCTCCTTTCAGTGCTTGTACCGCTTCCTCCAGGCTGCCATTTTCCAAGTTGATATTGTTGACAAACATAAGCCGATCTCCGGGAAGAAGTCTGCCATCTTGCTCAGCCACACCCCCAGGAACTAATGAGCGAATCACAATTACGGTGTTTGCTGGATCAACAGGATCCTAATTAAATAAAACGAAGAAAAACATTTCATTTTATTTATTCTTTTATGTCTTGAGAGGCTAATTTTTATGCAGAGTTGGGTTATTAAAAAAATTGGAGCTCTGCTCCAGATGAACCCTCAGCAGGAACATACCCTCCTGTCCATACTGCCCGTATGTTTAGACTTCCACCTATTTTTAGTTCTTAAATGTGAAAATTATTACTCTTTTCTAGGTGATGTCCCATCATATATCTCCAGCATAAAATAGTGCTAAATTGCAGAGTGCTGTTCATACTGTAATGAGTAATTACACACCAGAAATTCAAATACTTCCTACTGCAATGACAGCGTTGCAGACTTCATCCTCCCTTACACTCAGTGGTTTGGGAATACAGCTGGGCAGTGCAGCCTAGGGCACTCTGGCAGAACAAAGGGCTTATTTTCAATAACTCTCTTATACTTCATGGCACCACATCTTGCTCAGCTGAGAAAGCACTTTTTAAGGGGCAAGTCCCAGTGCATAACTAATTAAACACTTTATGGGAGACAGGAACATACCAACACAGCACTCTAATCAAGAAGATACAACAAACTGGCGTTTGCTTTTAAAAAAGAAAACTGCTTTGAAGTCCCCATCCTTCAACACACTGATTTTTATAAAAATGCTACCATCAAATACTAAGAACAGATTCTGTTATAACAATTATCACAGGTGCACACACTTGCATGATTCTTATAGAACTACATTCACAAGGAACATCATTACATGTCAATACTTCCAACACATGGGAATGCACTTGAGTGCATGCACAGAAAAAAACAAGAAATGTAATAATGTACCAGCTTTACTGATAGCAAAAGGAAGAGAAAAGCAAACATCTACAAACTGGCATCCAACTATAACAAGTTCCCATGCCCAGATATACACCTGAGAGGATGCACACCATCAAGGCAGCACCCAAAACCACAGGACTTGGAGGCTGATGAAAGCTAGTGTGAGAGAGAGGCATTGAGGGAGGAGGGAGGGAGGGAAGGACACCAAGAAGACCCTTAGCACTTCATGGCAGTTAATGCAGTAAGAATGCCATAGAGCAATAAAACACTTCACAAGTGGAAATACAACTAGCATTGCTGGAGATAGTGCTTAAGCCCTAACACTGACATCTTCCTCACTAATTTAACAACAAGTATTTACACTGTCACTTTAGATGACACTGCATGACATAGTTTTTGAAAAAAATCACCTCTCTAGTGTATGTGATAGTCTTCCCTGGGTTAAGAAATTACATAGACTTTCCTACAGGCCTGCTATTGTAGAAAACATGAGGAATGTATGAGTATGAACATAACTGTCCTTAACTTCAGTCACTGTTCATTGAAAATTAATTGAAAATTTGATGGAAACAGCAAAATATGAAGATAAATCTCACTGTAAACTTATTGTTCACAGTCTTAGATGAAAGCAGAAACTTCAGTGACAAAATGAAATGTTTTAGCCACATCTCAAAAGAGAGAACATAGGAAAAATCACAAATATTATAACATCAAAAAAAAAAGGTAAGTTTCAGAACGCTGACTACAGCTGTAGGATATAATCAAACTCATATTTGCAAAATATATGAAACAATTTAAGGTACTTCCCACAACCCTTCAGTATTACCATCCATAAACAAAATTCAGTAACTAACCACATAGGCAACCACCATTTGTGTCAACGCTTCAGAAGAAGCTGAAGCAAAAACGTGCTTTATTTTGTGCTGACGTGGACTCCAAATACTCAGGCTCAGCTATGGTGTCTCACTGCAGAGCATCATGAGTAACACATTAAAGAGTAGTCATTGTTTCGTAAAACAGATACTTGACTATGCCTTTATCCTTCAGATTATTAAACTACACTGCTCTTCACCTTTATCAGTGTGCAAATGCAAAATACTACTGAAGCATAGATTAATTCTAAACAGTGCCCTGCGGGCATAATTTCCACCTGGAAGTGACCTCCAGATGCAAATGCATATATTCTTAGGGACAAGATCCAGCAGAGACCTGGGAGGAGACTGCATCTTACAGCACCACCAAACAGCTGAGGAAAAGCCTACGCAAACCACAGGGAGAAATTACTTGACTTTGAACAGATTAAAAATTATCCACTGTGACAACTGGGAACAGGAGGAACATTTGTTCTGGGATCCTGACCAAATGCAGGCAGGAGACAGGCACTGAGCTGTTCGTTGGGACACACCAAGAATCACAGCTTGAGATACCCAGGAATTCTGAAGTCAAACACAAAATGAATGGGGATGTTCAGGCACGTCCTGGACAGACAGCAGCTAAGCAAGGGATTTCAGAATTGCAGTTCTGGATTTTAGTAAATCCTGCTTTAAGCACCTAAGTCCTTTATTGGATCTTGCCCTAAGCACCTCACTGCAGGTGCAAAACACATGGCTAAATGCCTCAATATTCTGACTACATCATTCATTGTCCCTGGGGTGCTAGCAGATGAGCTTTCTGAAGCCCGTGGTATATTATGGATTACATATTTTTCTGGACCAGTATTACCATTATCATTAGAACTTGTAGTCTAAATACAGTAAGAGGAATAAGTAATGTAGCTATTGGGATGCCTACCAGTAGTGACATCCATTTAGCTTTACTGTATCGCTTCGTTTCCATTAACATTTACACTTAAAATACGTATTTAGACCATACTGCGAGATCCAAACAACAAAAAGGATTTTGTCCTCTACTCAAAGAAAGGAGTGCAGAAGTTACCTGGTAGTCCAATATGCTAAATCCAAGTCCCATAGTCCCTTTCTCCAGCTCAATGTGCTGTACTTCTGTTTCCCACATTGCCAAAGATGAGCTTTGCACCTCTTCCACACTCTGACCCTCGTCAGTTATTTCCAAAGCTGTTCCCTCTGTGTCTGAGGAGCCAATGAATCCAAGGTCTATGTGAGCCTGAGAAAAACAGTGCATGTTCACCAATAAAATGTAAATGTCTGTGAATCTGCAGAGACAAAACTCTGTTCACCAAGAACAAGATAAAAACTAAGTGATGTTTCTCTAAACGCAGAGAAAGTGCAAGCACTCAGCAGAGTTAACAAGTCTGATAAAGCTAGCACAGAATTCACATATCCTTGTAACCAAATAGCTATGCTGCAAGTATATGAAAGTACTCACTGGAAAAATATTTACAAAATGGAATTACTGTCAAACTAAAAACTTCAGAAAACTTCATTAGTACATGTATTCAAACATACAGAAATATCTGTTATTAAACGGCATGTCTAAAAATATGCCTTGATCTAAACATAGTAGCACTGACAGGAGTCAGAACATTTAAAGAAAGAAAACAGACACATACATACACACACATATATGTTGTTCTCTCCCCTCGGTTTCATAGAAAAGCTTAGCAACAATAAGCTGAATTTGGTGCCTTGTCCAGAACTCAGAATTAACTGCCTCTTTTCATACAAATGCTATTGCTTTGTATAGTATACGGCAGACTATTCCTACATATTTAGTACATCAGGCTGCCCAGAGCTTTGCGCTTATCAGTGCAGAATTTTGTCTGCCAGTGAATGCACACGCAGCTCTGCACAACACAAACCCAGAAAGCAAAGTTTGAAACCAGATTAAATATATTCAGATTCTAAAGAACACACAGTTCAGTTTGCCATACACCCACGGCCTACCTGCAGAACACAAGTTAAGTACTTGGGTAGACAGACCTGCATCCCAGAATATTTCTGCCCATGAACTACCAGGATTGACACCTTCTGGTTGCCCTAAAGTATGGTTGATGAACATAATTTGCCTTTTTCAATTTATCTGGTTCCAAGTCCTAAAATATTAAAATATATTTTCTAATCTTGTATGAGAACTTTATATGTTTTTTCTCAAGGAAACGACCATTTTCTCAGTGATTTTTTTAAGACAAAATACCTTTTCTGTGAGCTGAACGTCAGATAGACTTAAACTCTCCAGTACTTCTGGGTGAGTGGTGGGGGGAGCTACTGGACGACAGCACACCATTGTCACCTTAATAGGCAGTTCTTTCAAGATATTGACCACATCCTTGTGATTTTCTCCAAGCAAAGAGATCTCATTCACCTCAATAAATAAAGAATATACAGTGTTTAGAAGTACAATGAACAAAAAATGGGTAGAAAACAAAAGCCCAACCCACTAACCACCTGATTGCAAAAAAAAAAAAAAAAAAAAAAAAAAAAAAAAAAAAAAAAAAAAAAAAAAAAAAAAAAAAAAAAAAAAAAAAAAAAAAAAAAAAAAAAAAAAAAAAAAAAAAAAAAAAAAAAAAAAAAAAAAAAAAAAAAAAAAAAAAAAAAAAAAAAAAAAAAAAAAAAAAAAAAAAAAAAAAAAAAAAAAAAAAAAAAAAAAAAAAAAAAAAAAAAAAAAAAAAAAAAAAAAAAAAAAAAAAAAAAAAAAAAAAAAAAAAAAAAAAAAAAAAAAAAAAAAAAAAAAAAAAAAAAAAAAAAAAAAAAAAAAAAAAAAAAAAAAAAAAAAAAAAAAAAAAAAAAAAAAAAAAAAAAAAAAAAAAAAAAAAAAAAAAAAAAAAAAAAAAAAAAAAAAAAAAACACCACCACCATGCTACTGGACATTGTCAACCCTTAATTTCTGCTCAATTTGGTGCTCAGAATGAGCACCAAGATAAGTTTTGAACTGAATGGATAGTCTCATAAATTGCGTGACACCACCCTACAAACACCACATACTCTGTCACTTCATGTTTCTTGCATTCACGTGAACCAAATTCACATTTTAGTTATGAGAAAATGATTTAGAAAAGCAAAGAGGTGTTTAGTCCCTTCACCGTGTAGGGATATTCCTATTAAATTTTAATGCTTTTGCTAGGTATTCTTTTTTGGTGACCTTGAACCGTATCTGAAAACATCAGCTATCAGCTGAGAAATGCATGTAAACATATGCATTCATATAAATACGTATAAGTACATATGAAGTGACTGCTCAAGCACTTCTGGTTACAGCTGGTATGCAGTTACATATGCTACATTCCCAAAGTCATAACCTGTGAGAAGCAAGTCACTGCTCAAAAATCTTACTGAATGCAGGATAAGATGAAGTAGTATTTTTCCTTACTTCCAGCAGCTCATCTCCACTGAACAGCTTGCCACTCCGTCCAACTGGCCCCTCCGGTAAGATAGATCTGATGAAATGATGTCCCACTGTAGCTTCAAGGCTTATCCCTAACCCACTGCTTTCACTAAATTTGTTAACTATAGCCACCTAAAAAAATATTATGAAATTGTTACTTCTGACATATTTACATCTGTACCTGTTACTTTCCATTTCAATTTACATACAATGAGGTGAATATTCCAGAAGTGAGAAACAAGAAATATTGTCTGTGTAATGCAGACTTTTAAACTGCAAAAGCATCCAAAGTTACTAGCTTAGGTTTTTCAACAGCACTGAGGGAAATAAAAACTGCAGCTTAAAAGAAAGAATCCAACTTTAACTTCCCCGTAAGATGAAAAGCACTGAGAAGGAAAACAAATACCAGATAAAACCTAAAATCTGCAGGCTACATTTAGTGAAAGTTACACAATCACAAAATAGTAGACTATTCTGGAAAGGAAACTACTGTTATGGATTCACACAGTGTTATCCAGGAACCACAACAGACCAAAACACCCTGTCCAGAGTAACACGACTATGTCACCCCATGCACGTTTATAGAAAGTCAGCACTGCAGACCTACTCTTTTACCTGCCTTTATGTGGTGCTTCAGACTCTTAAGCAGAACAACAAGAAAAGCCCCTTAAGCACAGAAACTGAAACACAGCCCAACCCAATATAACCTATGCCAGATGGGGAAGAGGCTCTGCAATGCATTTGTGTAAAAATGTGACAATTTTTTGGATCAGGGGACAGTCAGGTAAAAACTGAAACTTTGACCACATACCACTTCACCATAAACAAGTGGGAACTGTATATGACAACAATATATCTAATAATACATAATTTTGCAGAGACTACAGCTCTGGCATATAATTTTGAAATAAAGTCCTAAACTCAGATACTGCTTTTCAACTGTATCTACAGTAAATATCCTATGCATTATTTAGATCATTACATCAAACAATTCATTCAGGATGCAGAATGGGTAGGACATTTCAAGCATTAGCTTCAAATTCTGGCTAATGAAGGGAGCTTTGAAGTTCACCTTAAATATTATTTTTTCCTCTAATACACATTTATCCTCTTGAAGCTAGGAAATCTGTGAAACAATACTCACAGGCACAGTAACCTAAGAAGCCTGTGATTATTTTGCTAAAATCAATACAGAAAAATATATATCTATATTTAAAATTTATAATCAAAATAAAATAATCTCAACAGATTAAGAAGCATATGTATGATTTTTATAAAGGAACAAATTTAATACAAACATATTTGTATCTGTATGTTAGCAACATAATACAGATCAAAGGGCAGTTAGTAATAGTAATCAAAGTTTACCTACCACTATTTCATAATTCGAACCCATAATCCTCTGCCACTTTGCCTTCGTAGCTGCTGCTTCTGTAGTAGTTAGCTGGAAATCTAAAAGTTATGTCTGAGATTACTGTGACAAAAAAGTAAAACATCCTGTCTATTCCTATAACTGATAAAGTATATGGACCACACAAGACTACACAATCACTCCTGTGATGCCAGAACTCTCCTAAATAAGACTGAAAACACAACCTGTTTTGTCTCACTGGGCTTGGGTTTACCAGAGGAGAAACTTGCAAAATAGTATTAGATCCCACCTCCTGCAAAACTAACTGTGTATTTTGAAAGACATGAAATTCAGTCAAAAAGTTTGGTGTGAATGGCTGGGAGGAAAGGACACATACTTAAACTAGCCTCAGTGTTGAGTGAATTTAATGCAACTTTACAAGATAATGGGCACAAGGCAAATGAAAAAGTTACATGCATACTCCAGGCATCTGTTAACCAGACTGTATGTGGGCTGATCAGATTGATTCAGGGGGATGGCCGAAATTCTTACTTATGTGATACTGCATATTGATCCTTTTGAACAGACCCTGCATTTTACAGAGAGTGTCCGAGGAAGGTTTTCAAACAAAATCTGGAGGTTTTGTACTTTCAAAACTATGAGCACAACTGTAAAAGATGTTTTTGAAACTGTAGGCCATAGGGGGTCTTAGTGAGAGAACTCAAGCCTTATCTCTTTTTTTTTTTTTGGTTAGATTCACATACGTGCACACATACAATGAGAAACAATTCTAATAGCTAAAGAGCAGAAATGAAATTGGAAGGGAAGGAGGGGAGAAAAGCAATGACACTGTGAAAACTATAATGACAGGCTAGGCAGCAAACTGCAGCAACTCTTGATTGAAATTTTATCTGCAGGCTGAAAAAACAGAAATTATTTCCTCCTGCTTATTTTCCCCTCATTCACACTGTTTAGATTCTACGGCAGGAAACAATAAAAAGCAGTATTTAGATACAACAGTCAGCAAACACAGCAGATTTAACAGGACCCTACATATTCAAGGTCCATGGTCTGTGCTGTGCCTATAGTAAGTATCAAAATAAACTCTTCAGGTCTGAATGCTCATCTCAGGCGAAGACTAAAATCTTCATTGCAAGATTAAGTTCCCAACTCCCACTGACTTTTAGTAAGAATTTAAAGTGACTAACAGCCTCAGACAGTGTTTTAAATCTAGTCATTGCTCAGAAACATTACTAAAAATAAAGCCAGGTGTTATGTGGCATTCAAATATTACAACACTTTCCCCACAGCAGAGACTTTGCAGTATCTGCAGGAAAGGTGTTAATTTTTTTTTTCAGCTATCCAGGATAATGGAATAGCATGAGTTATGAAAAGATACATATTACAGAACTCATATGGGTGATGCTTTTCAGTTCCCCTCTAGCTTTGGAAGCAGGGCAATGTTAGGAAACACATCAAGTGCTGTCTCAATCTGGAAAACATGTCATGACATAGGACTTCTGAAATGCACCACAGGGCCCTAACAGCTCGAGAGGGAAAGGAAAATACCCATTAGAAAATAAGAATTTCCACAAGGAGTACGGGAAACGTCAGAGCATATCAGTGCACCAGAACTGACTGAATTTCAAATATTATCAGAGAACACAGATTGAAATGAATGCAAGCTCAGGAATTTGTGAAAAGGAAGTTTATCAGAAGAGGTAGAAGTCCTGGAACTGCAGCTGGGCTAGAAAGCTAAGGCATGTTGGGGAATGAGAAGGGAAGAAGTTTAATACACAACTAGAATAAAAAGAGTAGAAATACAAAACTAGACTGAAAAGAGGGCTGAGCATGTAGCAAAAGCAGACTGCTTCATGTGACATCTTTAACATATAATTACTTTCAGAGACATACAGCAGTCAGTGATCTTACAGCACTCAAGAGTACATGCTTACATGTATGATTACTTTCACTTTCTAGCTGTACCTCAGCTACATAGCCCAGAGGAGATGGAAAGGCACACAAAACACCCGATCTTTGTGTAAGCGCACCCAAGTGCATTTTCACAGAATAAAGTATTAAAAGTTGCGAACCTGTTTCCTGTTGTTTCATGTCCTCTCCGATATTTACCACACTGGCACTGCATGGCAGTGATGGGGAGCCCTGTTCTATTTCACTGTTATCTGGAAAAAGAAGAAGAAGCCTTTTCAGCTATTTTATGTGTTGCAATATTCATGAAGCTCACAGGCATGCCTCAGGGCACTGACTCTCTTTTTCACTGGACTTCAGAGAAGTCCATATTTGGCAAATGGAATCTGGCATGAGGGGCCCAAGAAATGCCATATTTTAAAGACATTTTCTCTTCTGTTAATGTTTTGCCTTCTCCAGTGAATTTTTCAATGAAACAAGACAAAAAAAGCACAATTATCAATAGCTGCATCTCTATGATTGAAAGAAAAGTTACTGGAAAACATGTAACTGTAACATTCTTTAGCACCCTTGTATTACCTATTTTTTTCCTTCCTCTTCTTTCCTTTGTGCAATTCAGGAAGCTGACACTGAAAAACGAAAATGCTACAGACTTGGAGACCTGCATACCTGACAGACTTTTCACTTGTAGAAAGCCTCTCCTACCACAGAGTTCTGTTAGGTATGCTGCTGGCTGTCAGCTGTCTTGACACCTCTAGGCTGGAGAAACAGCACCTTCTGAGCATTTCCTCTAATTTTTGCTAAAGGTGAGAATGAGAGGATGCCATACAGATAACATTCTACTGGGTCATTCAAAATCTTGTGCGAGGTGGGGATTATGCCTCAGTCTATGACTTGTGATATACTTCTGCTGACATCAACCTATAACAAAAGTAGCTGAAAAAAATCTGTTTGTGCATCCAGCCTCTGTGCAGATACTCTGTTCAAACACTTTCAAGATCTGGCACATATACTTCAAGATGTGCACAGTGTAAGATTAAGCTTCACTAATCTCATCTCAGCAGCAGCAAAATTAATATTGGTCATTGGCTTCTGAACTTTGTACACATATATAGTTTATCAGATTATTAATAACCTCTAGATACAGGCCATTCCTCTCATACCTCAAGCTTGTGACACTGACACGCAAGAGCGAAAGGAACTGAGACTTGCTTTTGCTTATTGTGGAGGGTATCTCTTTGCTTGCTCTTGAATGCAGCTCTCACCCTTGAGCACGAATAAACATTCATTGCCTTCTTACCATTTGAAGATTTGCAGGATCAAAGTCTTGAAGCAATTCAGCCAGAAGTGCAATGCAGCACAGAGCTTTCAACACTCACTTTGAAAATGTAGCAAGTAATACCACTGTGTCTAACAGATTAATCAAACCATAGTAGATGAAATTCTCTGCTCATGTACAGCAGCTCTGCCATCTACCCGGAATGAATCTGGCCCATTTTATTTCCAGTTTGCAATTGAGAAGAAAAATGTTTCAAGCCAACTTTAAAGCAAAGCCAGTTTTAATTACCTTTGGCTGTGCTACTATCCATTGTTTGGAACAGTAAGTCCTTTTCAACAGCAGCACTGAAGTCCTCCTGGGGCTGAATATGATTTTCCTGCTTAAGCCCTCTTCTGATCAAAGTGAGACGAACCGTTTGTCCCGTGTGCCGCAAAACATCAACTGCTTGCTGGTTAGTAAAACCCTGAAGATTTGTTCCATCCACCTGCAGGATTAAGCAGCTTTTCAGCCCGCAAAACACCACACAGAAAAAAAAAATGTCTAGGGCAAAATAATATGGTGAGCTCTCAGCATTTGTTAGCCTGAGCACTAAGCAAGCGGAGGGACGAGAACAAAAACCTGGATGACTTAACGACATTGGATACACTAAGCACTTTCACTGGAGTACCCCACAGCTAGGTAACAACCAGTACCACAGCAAACTGGGGAGAAGTGCTTTGGGTGCCCACCACAGTGGGGCCAGGCAGATCTGCTTTGCCAGGTGGGAGAGGACACAGCACATGCTGTGCGGGACACATTGTGCAGCCTGCCTGCTCAACCACTTCAGCCATCCCCACCGCTGAGGAGAAAATACTGGGTGAATAAACCAACACAGCCATGGCTGGGAGAGCTGGGGAGGGGAGGGTGAGGAGAGACACATCCGTCCACTGTGGTAGAAAGAACTACAGAGCGCAGCCGTTCTGAGGCCAGGTAACGTCAGACACAGTGAAGTCTACTATTGAACACTGTGAAGTCCAATTTCCTGATCAAACACTGTCCCAGCTAGCCAGATGTTCTCTCTGATCCGTCATTTTAATATTCTAAAGAACAAGATTTTGGCCTCTTCTGTTTGAAGCAACCCCATTATCTCATTAACTCAGGGTTTTCTTCTGAAACTCAAGACTTTGGCATTGCTCAATTTCACCGCATTATCCCTAGTACACTCCACTTTTTATTCTCCTTCTCCCTGCAAACTCCATATTATTCTATTATTTCTCCGTCTCACCCCTCAGCACCTTTAACCTCTGAAATACCTCTAACAATACTATATTCCTTGACTCCTGTAGTTGTTTCAGTCTATCTATACAACATACATATTCCATTATTTTAATTCCTCCTGCATGAAGAATGACTCCCCCTGGACCCTTAATCGTTTTGTTGCCCCTCTCTGAACTTCTTCCAACTCTGGTGCTCTTCTAAATATAATTAAAAATGAGCTGGGGTTATTTAATTTTTCCTCCACATTTAAGCAAACCCTATTTTAAAAAGTTTATTATTCTTTTGTCTGAGGTCACTCAAATCTTCTTCTCCTTCTGCATCTGCAGTAGAAGAAGAAATCAAACTTTGACATAATCAATTTTAGCCATTTGTACACAGCATTTAAATCATTATAAAAAACATATATACTTCCACATACAAACATGCAGGCACATTTGTACTGGGAGAGAGACCATAACCTGTTCTTAGTGCTGCCTTCGCACAAATTCAAGGCCAGATCTATGACAGCCACAAAAACACGGTTCCTGCATTCATGACCTGATTTTCACCACACAATTAACATTTTAGGCATGAAAATACTTTCTTCTTTCTCTGAGCATCTAAAACTTTAATGACATGCTTTTAAAAATCATTTTGAACAGTTGCTTAATTTGAATCAAACTGAAACTTTGCGTTTACTAAGCAGTCTCAAAGCTCCTACTGATAAGATACACACATACAACACATTTTCTTGAGAAACACAAGTTACACACAAGTAGCATAATCAGAAAGATAATGTGATCGAATACTCAGTCAAAAAAAGGACTCACCATTTCAACACCAATCCTAAATGTTTTAAACACATAGTATATGAGCATCTCTTTACAACTTAAAGAAGTGGAGTTTTGCAGACAAGCGATCTCATTTCTTTCTGTGTTTACTTACAACTATAATTTGATCTCCCACATGCCTTCTGCCATCATGTTCAACAGCACTGCCTTTTGTAATGCTTTTCACAAAGATACCAGAAGGTTCTGGGATGAAGAAACAGAGAAAACTAAATTAACTAATTTATTAAGAAACAATTTAATTAATGCAACAGTCTCCAAATAATGCCACCGGCCAAAGGGAGAAAAAGAAAGAAAACACAATCTCCACGTAAGATAAGGAAAGAATCATCAAGAAAGTATATGCTTTAGGTAAAACAAATGTATTATTATTTTCCTAAAGGATGAGCTTGATTAATGTCAGCTTGCATTGCACCAGATCTCATTCAAAATCTTACAACGCCAAATTCCCTTTCTTGCTGCAAAAGAAGAAATACTCTAACTTATGTTAATCTAAATGTTGAAACCAATATTGACAAAAAACTTACCTCTGACTCTTGGTCAGACTTAAAACTGCAGGACAGAAAATTCAGTCTGAGTACACTAACCTGGTAAATTCTGTATTTGCTATGTACTTAATAACTGCTTAAGAAAATGCACACTTGGATAACCAAATGCAGAAAATTATAAGCAAGCAGGACTACAAATTACATTTGAACCAGCTTTTAACTACAGCTGTAAGTCAGTATTTGATCCAATAAAGAAAAAGAAGACACAAAAGAAAAAAAAAAAACAAACCCCAAAACAGAACCATTTTAGACAGTTACTGATTTTGAATCAGAAGGAAAAGTCATATATATAAAACTCCTACAGAAGGGACATTTTACAAAAAGAAATCCATTTCAGGAAAAACACACTGGAATTTGAAACAAATTCAGCAGCTCAGTAAAGTGAAAATCTATGGAGTTCCTACACGCGCATTTTGCATAGTATACATGAAATCAAGAAAAATACTAGCATGAACTGGCATGAAATCAGGTCTGAGGGTCACAGGCCTGTAACATTGGTATCAGAAATCACATTTTACAAAAAGAAATCCATTTCAGGAAAAACACACTGGAATTTGAAACAAATTCAGCAGCTCAGTAAAGTGAAAATCTATGGAGTTCCTACACGCGCATTTTGCATAGTATACATGAAATCAAGAAAAATACTAGCATGAACTGGCATGAAATCAGGTCTGAGGGTCACAGGCCTGTAACATTGGTATCAGAAATCTTAACAGAATCTACTTTCTCGCGACAAATGTTCCAACTCTGTTAAATGAATACTTTTGATAAGAAGATAATCCACTACAAAATGGGAAAATGGGTTTTAACAGCTGCCAAGACACCCTAGTGCCTTTGCAGACCTGAAACTCATCTTTTACTGGGCCTCAATATGACAAAAGTTAGCAGGAAGGAGGGCTAAATCTATGTTTTGCTCTAATGACTATATTCAGCTTAGGAAGAATAAGACTACAAATATATTTAAGTCACGACATTGACAATTCTTTTCTGTTTTTTCTTAATTTATTGTTTTCCCCGGTGTCGTGGTTTAAACTCAGCCGGCAACTAAGCACCACACAGCCTC